TTCTGTATCTTTCATTTGGTGATTTATTGTTGTGTAAGTACACAGCAATCAGCAAGCAATAAACCCTTTCTCCAATTATTTTCGGTGCGTCAATTCTGGGTTCACAATATGAATAGAAAATCTATGCACTGAACCGTATTTCCCCTGCATGACATCACAGCAACAGCGCCCTCAGTTGTCCAGGAAAGTATGGATGATTTCAAATGTTTAAAAAATTGTTTCCAAGATATTTAATCTAAAAGAGATGTCAAACCTGAAGAAGAGAATAAATCGCAGAAAAATTATGTCCAAGAAAAATTGCAGCTAGACTTTAAATAAAGTTGTCTCTCGTGCGAAGGTCTGCGACTCCCCTTTGGCTAGATTTATATTATACACTTGTGCGAAGCCGAAAGCAACACTATCCAAAACCAATATCGTATCTATCAAATCGTGGAAAACGATAAAGACGGGCAATGCCGAACGGTGTTCAAAAGTTTGGACTTCAAGTTACGGAACCATTACAAATTAATATCCACACAGTGTCAGATTAGTTTACTATTCCTTGGTACAATCATTGGGCGAGGGCGTAACGTCGAATTGAGACCGTATACTATTTGCATTACTTCGAGCGAGGTTAACCCACTTCAACGGTACGTTGAAATAAGGATTGCAGGCTGCATGAGTAGGCCTAAATACCAATTTAAAAATACATTAAAAAATTTTCAGTTGAAGGAGGTTGTAACTAATGTCACAAATAGTTGGGTATTTTTAATTTGACTCCGGAATTCCAGCCAAACGGATTAAGACCACTTTCACAAGTTCCCCTGGTATGTATCGCTGAAGTAAAGGACAACTTATTCCTGGCAAAGATCGTAAAAAGAAAACATACGGGCGATTCAAGTGGTCATTCCCGCTCATGTTTCGAAATTTAATTAAAAAACGTTTTGCGTGTCAGGAATGGATAGCAGTGTTGTGGATATTAGATGGTAACGGGTCATACGATGCGTCATGGGAAGGTTACGTGAGCCGCTGCATTGGTACCAACAATTCAATGTCATTTTTCTGAAACTATTTCAGAAAGCATGGTAAAACTCGAATTCTGTCATTTAATTAAACAATACTCAGTCATTGTGTACAAGGGCGAGGGGGAGGTTACAGGTCGAGGGATCTAGCGAACACCCTTTTCCAATCTTCTGCAATCCTCCAATTACTAGATTTACTCTGAAAAAAAGCAGAAGTCTTCGATTTTGTGCCTTTGGAGTATTTAAAATGCACCAGATCGAATGGTTTGGTATCCCTTTTTATGCTCCTTGGGAGTATGCCCCAAGAAACCTTCAGTCTTGGGATACGTATCGAACGACGATTCCAAGCCATTGCTTTTGAAACCATGTGCGTCCATGCATGTGGGTCCATTCCTTATACGGAAAAAGAGAGTTGTCTCGCTAGCCACTGTGAGAAAGCCTGACATGTAAATAGCGCCATCTGTTAACTTTTAAGTGAGAGTGAAGGTGATTATTTAACACACCTCCAGATATCCGAATCGACTGAAGCTTTGCCATGTTGGATTGTGTTGCACCCTTTAAAATTATCATTGTATTGACAATACTGTGAAAAAAATATGTTAATTCAAAGACACTGTCATAAAGTTGGAATCGGGAGCATTTTCACTGTCTTAAAGAAATGGAGTTTGCAAATATTATACATCTGGAAAAAATTCACTGAACAAATTTTTTCCTTCATTTTGATGGGTCGTTGTTTAAACCATTTGTAAGCTCAATAAGTGAAAATAGTGAAAACAATCTGAAGATTGAACTTTAATTTCAAATTCTAAATGCTAAATCTTCAATGCTAAAATCCATTTTGGTTTAGTCTGTTTAATTTGAAATTTTTCCTGACATCGGAAAATGTATACAAAATTAATATTTGCAAGAGAAAAATATTTTGGATTTGACATAACTTCATGCAGACAGAAATATAATAAAATGCAGAGAACTACCTGTACATGTATAAATATATTGGCCGTAAAGTGTGTCATCGTCATCATGAATAAATTATGCTTACATTCCAAGAAAATCGACCTAAAAACAGCTTGGTTCAAAATTGTGTGCAGTTTATATGTAAATTCAGAGGCGAAGTCATTTTGAGAAAACTCGCTCGCCACCATGGGCCTTGTGCCGTGCCAAGAGAGGGTGCTATTTTTTTAGCAACGGAGGCTTCTTTCGGACGACTAGGAAATGCCCGCGTGACGGTCGCATCGCTAACAAATTGAACACTAACGACCAACACGGCTCTTTTCAACCGATGAGAGGGTGCTTTTGCTGGAAGTGGATACTTGCATCTCCTGCTTCAACGTGGGATCTAGTTATCACGATTACAAATCTTGATCCCGACAAGACGGGTGCGTCCACGTAAATAGACCAGAAATCTGTCGGCCGAGCTCATTAAAATCCAAATTATACACTCAAGATATTCTATATTAGAGAGTTCTGAGCGCCACGGATTTGGCGAATAGGAGAAAGATGCCACTGAACCTCTAGCCTGGACTCAGGCTTCCAATTCTGAACAATTCGGATGCAGTCTGGTCCGAAAGTGGCACTATTTAGCCATTTTGCAGAGGGATGCTTTCTAAAATGACTACTTTTAGCAGTCAGGGTAATATCCTTCGTTTAAGGAGTGGTCTGTTTTGGGCGATAATTTCTCAAAAATTCATTGGTCAAACCACCGAAGACTGAGTGAAAGGAAACTACAACATGTTGATCATCATTTTCCGTACAGCCTGAACACGTGTGAGGGTTGTGAGTATTTCTAAAAGAATTTTGAAGTACATGGATTTATCACTGGCGTCTATGGGAATTTACTTATGGGAGTGCACCCAGACGTTCTGGACGTGCCTACCTACCGTCCGTATACAGTTCTCAGTCACCTCCAAGGGTACGGGCTTGTCGGATATATCCCGGACGGACCATAGCGTGTCCATTTCGCGGTAAAACTGGTTGGACCGACGCACTATCTCCACGTCGCAGAACCCGGGCAATGAATGCGACACGCGCGGGGACTGGTCGTCGTCAAGGTTATGTGGCGGCAACACGTCACCAACTTCCTGAGGATCTTCGATCGACGGAGTCCTGCTTCTCGTCCCGAGACGAAGAGGCAGCAGACATGGCGGAACGCCTTGGCGAAAACGGACCCGAGTAAAGAAGCACAGTACGGCCTATATTCCCAAAATCATTGTTATTTCCCAGCACGTACGTACGGCTTTAGATCGGTCCTTCATCCAAAAATATCACCAAAAAAATCAACAAAATTCTACGATTGCTCTCAATCCCCAGTTTAAAAAGGTCCGGACCCCCACGACCCCCCCCCCGAATCCGCCCATGGGTACTTTTTAAGCGCCTCGTCCTGGCGGAGAATTTTCCTCGAATTGGGAATTGACTATACTGACATTGTTTGCTCAGCCGAGCGTGACGCGTGTCAAAGGCTACGTTAGTCTTCTGTCAAAACTCTAACTTATGTTCATGCTATTTTTATGATCCGAAAAACTCCAAATTATTCAATTATTCTGAAGCTTGAATTTTCTCCGAAACGACAAAGAAATCAATCAAGGTCACACTGATACAAGGAACAAATAAGCAAGTATGGTTTAATGAGAATGTCACACTTAGAAAAAAGTAGGCCTAACGAAGAAAACGTTGATTGGAACTAGTTTACAATGATAAGGAATATCTCATATAAACAAGTATTCTTACGGGTGAAAGCTTGGCAAGGCACTACAGTGAAGACCCCACAGATGCCGAAAAACAGTTAAGTCCCTGATGGTGCCAAAATAAGCTGTCATCGGGACGAAGATCACGTCCAATAAGAATGACCGGGCTCGAGACGAAACGGCGAGGGTGTAATGACTGTCACAAATACTGGACTTGACGATCCCAAAAACTGGAACTAGATTCAGTTCACAAAGTGTCTCTGCCGGATCAAGATTCAGCTCTGCACTTCACTTGGTCTGGACGGACTTCTCTTACAAGTGTCACTTTACAAACGACTCGCCACCACAGGTTAAAATGGTGAAGAAGTTAACAAGTCAAAGACTTCTCACAGCGCGCGTACCGGGTAGAATTGCCTTCCAAAATCTCTCTTGCGGTGTGTGTGTCTCTCTCTGTCTTCCGCCATTTTATAGTCTACATCTCTGCCAGAGATTTCTCTCATTACGTAAGTTTCTTAAAACATACTTTTTAGCATTACTTAATCTAATAAGACACCTCAAAACATAACTGGAAGCGTCGTCAGCTCTTCCACACTTACGACGAGAATGGTCATGGTTAGTCATTCACTGTGGCCTTGGGTCAAACGGGGGTGACACACAGAATCGTGGGCGGTACCATTACATAATCTGCCACACGTACAGAGACCGTGCGCGTAAACATAACATAATATAAACGCAAAAAAAGGTACCAGCGTCGTAAGGTCCAGTCCACTAATTCAAGCCCAATTGAAAACAGTGTAAAATCAGCACTGTTCAGGGTCCAATAGCATGCACGCCAACATCCCTGAGATTTCTGAGACACAAATTAAATTCTTGTCTGGTCACTTATCTTTCAATTTCTTTTCCATTNAGGACCATTCTTCAACCGTAGTTTTTAGCCCTTCTGCTCTCATATGAAAGCTGAAAGACCCAGGGAGTTGATCCCGGCAATAATTTACACAATCTCATCATTTTGGGGGCCAAACAATCTCCTTTTTCAACAGATACTGTGGGGGGGGCACTTTTAATGCTAATGAGCTGGCCAGAAATTCTCACTTGAATTAGTGGTCTGCACGCCGTAGTGGCTAGTGAACAAAGGAGTAATAATAACAGGCTCGTACATTTTGTGAAAATGTGTTTTTAATCTCAAAATACTTAGGCCTACACAGTATATTAAAATGCCCTTTTATGACTAACAGGCTAAAGGTGCACCGCGTTTTTGCTTAGTTTTAGTGAGTTTAATTAAGGATCCGTGTTACTTCCGAGTGAAATTAGCAGTCTTTCGTTTAACCCAATCATAACTGACGTCGTGGCAAAAGACTAAGGTCACCTCTACGTTATTGACCACAAAAGAAGCACAGTGCTATAACAATGGACGCTCACTGTAGTTAGTGCACTGTGTGTTAAACTGACCGTGTTCGATCATGGCGTTACCGCTCGCCCCGTTTTTCTTAACCTACTGGCCGCAGATCGTATCGGCCGTACTGTGCTTCTTAATCGGGACCGTTTACGCCAAGGCGTTCGTCACCGTGCCCGCCGCCTCTACGTCCGGAGACGTGAAGCGGGACTCCTCCGCCGTCGACGATCCTCAGGAGCCGCCGTCGCCGCCCCCCAGCCCGAGCCATGACAAGGCCCCGCGCGTGCCGTATTCATTGCCCGGATTCTGCGACGAGGAGATGGTGCGTCGATCCAACCAGTTTTACCGCGAAATGGACACGCGACGGTCCGTCCGGGATATATCCGACAAGCCCGTACCCTTGGAAGTGATCGAGAACTGCATTCGGATGGCAGGTAGGCAAGTCCTGAACTTCTTGTAGGTATCAAGGTTTATGGTTGTGTTAATAAATTGATCCCATGTTGAATTTTAGGAGATGCATGTATAGTGGTGAGTCCTGCTTTTTTAGAGCTGGAAAGGGAACTGTGCCCAAAAATAAACAAATGAATAAACCCACGGCCATAGGTAAAGATGGTACTAAAGTGTCTATCTGTTTCTCTGCAGCTGTTGATTTCGGTGTCCGTTTCTGAATAATATCGTGATTATACTTGTTTCAGACGGAACCATTTCTTTGATTTTATCCAAGCACTTCTATACAATAGTACCTAAACAGTTTCGTTAGCCATTATCGGGAAATTAAACCCTGACTTTATACGATCGAATGCACACTCATTGAAATAGAATTCTTATTCGGGGAAACGGGGATTTGAATGTTCGTTCCATTTCGATCGACAACGAATGCTGTTAGTACTAATTCATTTACACATTTTCCGAAATTGGCCGGGAAAATTTTGAAAACAGCTACTTCAAATTTAGTAAATACATTGAAATGACACGACAAACGTAAAACAGGAGCACAATGATAAATTATTAATAATATCACGTACAACTTTTAGATATTCTGATAAAAATAAAACAAATTGGCACTATTGTATTGTAGAGTTGGTTAAAAATGGCTATACAATAAGAAATTGTCCGATACAAATAGAGAGGAGTTAAATATGAAAATTAAAAATGGAAGAAAAAGAAACGGTGAGAAATTTGCATTTACAACGACACTATAGGTACGGCCCCAAGCGGTGCCCACATGCAACCTTGGACTTTTGCGGTCCTCAGCAACCCGCAGGTCAAGCTGGAGGTGCGCCTCATCATCGAGGAAGAAGAGAGGATGAACTACGAGAAGAGGATGAGCGCACAGTGGCTGCACGACCTGGAGAAGCTCAGACTCACGTGGAGCAAGCCCTACCTGACCCGAGCGCCTTACATCATCGTCGTCTTCAAGCAGCTGTTCAGGGTTACCGAGGAAGGCAAGAAGACGACGAATTACTACCAGGAGATCAGCGCCTCCATAGCAACCGGATTCCTGCTGGCGGCCGTGCATGTGAGTTGGATCTTTTGGGGAAGAACAATTATTTGAAACAAACCAAAGTGATCTGTTCGCGAATAAGTTTGTGTGTGTTTTGGTGCAAGATTTTGATGGGAGGAGACAACGTCGTGTTAATTCACGCCGCAATTTGGTTTTTGCTGAAAGGTAGGTCTGTCCCTCAGCCGCTCTTTGTAATAGATTTTTTACATCTGGATAAGATGCAGTCACTTGGATGCGATTTAAGGCGGGAAATGCTTCCAGACACTCGCTATTTTAGTCAACAAAGTGTTTTGAAAAGTTTTCCACAATTGAGTGAATGAGTCCCGAGCATTCCCTCAAATTCATCGGAAACTGTCGAAAATAATCATCGGCCACTGCAGAAATTGCCGAACGAAGATGTCTCACTTTCACTGAACCTGCAGAATTACGTCTGAATGTCATCCAGGTTGCAATTATTACAAGTATTAAGCGTTGATAGATTGCACTCAGTTGCAAACCAAAAGCGTTGAACAGTCTCCAAAAGCAAAGACATGTAGTAATGAGAAGCAGAGTGCATACTGATTTCGTTGGTTGTTTTTTCAGAATGCCGGTCTGGTAACGGTCACTACCACCCCAATGAACGCTGGGCCCCGCCTGCGCACTCTGTTGGAGAGACCGATCAGCGAAAAGGTGTTGGTTCTGCTCCCCGTAGGACACCCAGAGGATGGTGCCACGGTGCCTGACTTGCAACGCAAAGCTCTCCAGGAAATCATGGTGCTGAAGTAGACTACTGTAATAGGACTTTGGAAGTCTATCAGATACAGCAAGAAATTGAGATATTTAAAAGTTCTATACATGTATGTCACTTTCAACATGGTTTCTTCTCTTTTATCGAACGATTTGTGTATGTTTAACAAGTGAATAAAGTTTCCTGTAAAAAACCAGTCTCTCGGTGTGTATTTTATTTCCCTTACTCTAATTGGAAAATAGTTTAGGCCTGATGAATATTAAATAAGTGTATCTTGATTTCACTCTGTGTGTCCCAGTTTAGTTCAATAAGTCCTGCCATATAAGGATAGTTATGCGAAGTGGATGAGTGTGTGCGCTGTCCAGGGAATGCACCTTTTGTTCAATGCCATGGTTAGTCAAATGTGAACATTTTTGCCAGTTTTTCTTAAGGTGTAGTCTCAGATAGTCAGGAGTCAGAGCCAGAAGTAAACGGTTTAATATTGCAGAACCTCTGAACATGTGAAATTTTGTTTTCAACTCTGTTGGCAAACTCTGAAAAAAGCTTGTTAATAAAATCAAGCCCTGAGACGAGCAGACTTCTGAACTGCCTGCAATTATTTGTCAAGGCTTCTAACCGCTTGTAACTGCAAGTTAAACTTATCTTGTGTTATTTTCCTTAACGTTACACTAACCAGTATTTCATGAGTCCTTTATGGTCTTGTATAGCTTGTTTGATTGGAGATGAGACACGCAAGTGAACGCTGTTTTAAGGTTAAAAATGAACGATGTTTCAAGGACTGAAGTGACAATTAGACTGCTTTAATGAGTCCAATTTCGGTTTACAACATTGATTTTGTAGATGGCACGTAATAACTGGATTTGAAGCTGGATTTCCCCTAAAAGGGTACTTGGATCCTTTTGCTGTTTCACCTGGGCCATGAGAAACGTCCAAAGGCGCCTATAATTATCATTCCTTCGTGGCCAAAACTTGGGGCTCAGAGTGACGTACAATGGTAGATCGCCAAAAGCATCGACTTCAGCAAAACCCTGTGGACTTGTATGCCTTAGGATAATCTGACCCTTGAATGTGATGCGCAGTGACTTTGTAAATTTGGATGCCCGACTGCAGGCTAATGCTGAGGGTATACAAAAGTTATCGGCTTCTGTAAACGCCATGGCATGCAAGACGTGCTGACATCTCTGGTGCAAAATGCCGCCCTTCCTGCTGGACGTGCGAAGCACGTTGGCTAAGACAACCCTATCGAGGGCTCACCTCATCTTGAAGTTTCAGCCCAATATGACAACGACTTCCAGGAAGAATTGCTTAGCTAAGAGGCTCCTGCCTTTGACTCAGCTCGGTTGGAGTTTGACCTGACCAGTGTTCTGGCAGGTACTGAAGCTGCAGCATGTGCTGATTTTGAGGTTCTTTCCAGCGAAGACATTTACACAGATAGTGAAGCCAAAGGCCCTCAGATTTTCGGCAATCTAGCCGAAAGGGTGGTTAAAGCCGTTACCCGTCAAAAAGAGACATATGAAAAAAAATGCTGAGCAATATCCCACGCTGTCAAATGCAGTGGCCGTCACTTGGAGGCAAGGCACAGAAAAACAGTATGAATCTGCCTGGAAATGTTGGCTTAGCTGGTGTGGTAGAAGGAAAATCGATCCTGTTGCGCCATCTGAACTAGATACATGTATTGCTAATTCCCTGGCTCGGCACTTTCACAAGTTCCCCTGGTATGTATCGCTGAAGTAAAGGACAACTTATTCCTGGCAAAGATCGTAAAAAGAAAACATACGGGCGATTCAAGTGGTCATTCCCGCTCATGTTTCGAATTTTAATTAAAAAACGCTTCGCGTGTCAGGAATGGATAGCAGTGTTGTGGATATTAGATGGTAACGGGTCATACGATGCGTCATGGGAAGGTTACGTGAGCCGCTGCATTGGTACCAACATTTCAATGTCATTTTTCTGAAACTATTTCAGAAAGCATGGTAAAACTCGAATTCTGTCATTTAATTAAACAATACTCAGTCATTGTGTACAAGGGCAAAGGGGGCGGGGGTTACAGGTCGAGGGATCTAGCGAACACCCTTTTCCAATCTTCCGCAATCCTCCAATTACTAAATTTACTCTGAAAAAAACAGAAGTCTTCGATTTTGTGCCTTTGGAGTATTTAAAATGCACCAGATCGAATGATTTGATTTCCCTTTTTATGCTCCTTGGGAGTATGCCCCAAGAAACCTTCAGTCTTGGGATACGTATCGAACGAAGATTCCAAGCCATTGCTTTTGAAACCATTTCCGTCCACGCATGTGGGTCCATTCCTTATACGGAAAATGAGAGTTGTCTCGCTAGCCACTGTAAGAAAGCCTGACATGTAAAGAGCGCCATCTGTTAACTTTTAAGTGAGAGTGAAGGTAATTATTTAACACACCTCCAGATATCCGAATCGACTGAAGCTTTGCCAGGTTGGATTGTGTTGCACCCTTTAAAATTATCGGTGTATTGACAATACTGTGAAAATATGTTAATTCAAAGACACTGTTATAAAGTTGGAGTCGGGAGCATTTTCACTGTCTTAAAGAAACGGTGTTTGCAAATATTATACATCTGGAAAAAAATATTCACTGAACAAATTTTTCCCCTCATTTTGATGGGTTGTTGTTCAAACCATTTGTAAGCTCAATAAGTCTAAAAAGTGAAAACAATATGAAGATTGAACTTTAATTTCAAATTCTCAATGCTAAATCTTAAATGCTAAATCCATTTTGGTTTAGTCTATTAAATGTGAAATTTTTCCTGACATCGGAAAATGTATACAAAATTAATATTTGCAAGAGAAAAATATTTTGGATTTGACATAACTTCATGCAGAGAGAAATAATAAAATGCAGACAACTACCTGTACATGTATAAATATATTGGCCGTAAAGTGTGTCATCGTCATCATGAATAAATTATGCTTACATTCTCAGAAAATCGACCTAAAAACAGCTTGAAACAGCTTGGTTCAAAATTGCGTGCAGTTTATCTGTAAATTCAGAGGCAAAGTCATTTTGAGAAAACAACCCCAGACTGGCAGCAGAGTTGTAACGAGTCACTGATTTTTGTGACTCGAGTCTAGTCGAGTCATTTATTTTGCCCGAGTCAGTTCGAGTCACAAACATTTGGACACTTAATAAATAAACATCAAGAGACAGAAATTTGTTTGCTGTTTTGAATTTATTTATTAATGAAGCACAACATTTGCTAAGTGTGAAAAAACTGCACTCAATAAAATCACTCTGCAGGTTTCAGTAGTCTTGCTTATCCCAAGAGAAAGCCCTGGAGATTTGCCTCACCAGGTGTGAATTTCATAGAGATGCCAAAGCAAATCATTTGCTTAAGAGCAAAAAACCGTTGCTCAGTAAATAAGGTCACCGGCCCAAGCTCTCTGTATTTGTCTTGCTAACCAAAATGTACAACTAAATACCAGAGTTGTAACGAGTAACTGATTTTTGTGACTCGAGTCGAGTCATTTACAGCAGAGACTCGAGTCGAGTCACCCAAAAATGCGACACTCACTCGAGTCGGACTCGAGTCGAGTCATTGACTCGAGTCATTACAACTCTGACTGGCAGCAGGGCCAGAATAATAATCAAGAGGTTACAGGACTTCTCTGATCTGATAGACTTCCAAAGTCCTATTATATACAGTAGGCTACTTTAGAACCATGATTTCCTGGAGAGCTTTGGGTTGCAAGTCAGGCACCATGGCACCATCCTCTGGGTGTCCTACGGGGAGCAGAACCAACACCTTTTCGCTGATTGGTCTCTCTAACAGAGTGCGCAGGCGGGGCCCAGCGTTCATCATTGGGGTGGTAGTGACCGTTACCAGGCCGGCATTCTGAAAATGAGACCCAACGAAATCAGCATGCACTCTGCTTCCCACTGCTACATGTCTGTGCTTTGAGAGACCGTTCAACGCCTAAAATCGCATCCAATTGACGGCATCTTATCAAGATGTAAATGTGAAAAAAATCCTATTACAAAGAGCGGATGAGGGACAGACCTACCTTCAGCAAACTCAAATTGTTAAATTAATACGACGTTGTTTCATCCCATCAGAAGCTTGTAGCAAGGCACTAACAAAAGTGTTCACTAACGGACCACTTTAAATTTGTTTAAAAACATAATGTTCTTCCCTAAAAAATCCATTTCACATGCAAAGCTGCCAGCAGGATTCCGGTTGCTATGGAGGCGCTGATCTCCCGGTAGTAATTCGTCTGCTTCTCCCCTTTCACGTTAACCCCGAACTGCTGCTTGAAGATGATGTAGGGCGCTATACAACCTTTGGGCCTTGTGGCGTACCAAGAGAGGGTGCTATTTTCTTAGCAACGGAGGCTTCTTTCGGAACCTTAACCGAACTTGTTCGCTGCCTTGCGAGCGACTAGGAAATGCCCGCATGACGGTCGCATCGCTAACAAATTGAACACTAACGACCAACCAACACGGCTCTTTTTAACCGATGAGAGGGTGCTTTTGCTGGATGCAGTTACTTGCATCTCCTGCTTCAACGTGGGATCTAGTTATCACGATTACAAATCTTGATCCTGACAAGACGGGTGCACCCACGTAATTAGGCCAGAAATCTGTCGGCCGAGCTCATTAATCGAAATTATACACTCAGGATATTCTATATTAGAGAGTTCTGAGCGCCACGGATTTGGGGAATAGGACAAAGATGCCGCTGAACCTCTAGCCTGGACTCAGGCTTCCAATTCTAAACAATTCGGATGCAATCGAAAGTGGCACTATTTAGCCATTTTGCAGAGGGATGCTTTTTAAAATGACTACTTTTAGCAGTCAGGGAAATATCCTTCGTTTAAGGAGTGGTCTGTTTTGGACGATAATTTCTCAAAAATTCATTGGTCAAACCACCGAAGACTGAGTGAAAGGAAACTGTAACATGTTGATCATCATTTTCCGTACGTCGCGGCTGCGAGTTAAGTAAGTCGCTTAAGTAAGTCGCGACCGCGAGTTAAGTAAGTTGCGGCCGCGAGTTACTTGCAACAACGAAAGAGAAACGCACCGCCGTGAAAGAGAAACGCACCGTGGCCCCAACGGGCCTCCGTACAAAATACTTAAGGCCTACACAGTATATTAAAATGTCCTTTTATGAATAACGGGCTAAAGGTGCACCGCGTTTTTTCTTAGTTTGTTTCTGTTTTATTGAGTTTAATTAAGGATCCTTGTTACTTCCGAGTGAAAATAGCAGTCTTTCGTTTAATCCAACCATAACTAACGTCTTGGCAAAAGACTAACGTCACCTCTCCGTATATCGACCACCAAAAAAGCACAGTGCAATAACAAGAGACGCTCCCTGTAGTTAATGCACTATGTGTTACACTGACACATGAATGTTCGATCATGGCGTTACCGCTCGCCCCGTTTGTCCTAACCTACTGGCCGCACATCGTATCGGCCGTACTGTGCTTCTTACTCGGGACCGTTTACGCCAAGGCGTTCGTCACTGTGCCTGCCGCCTCTACGTCCGGGGACGTGAGGCGGGACTCCTCCGCCGTCGATGATCCTCAGGAGCCGCCGTCATCGCCCCCCAGCCCGAGCCATGACAAGGCCCCGCGCGTGCCGTATTCGTTGCACGGGTTCTGCAACGAGG